CCTCCATGATTGAAAAGGCACTTCAATGGGCCACCCCATCTGTCCGATGATAACCACCAAGGACTCTCTCCTCTCTCTGTTTCAGAGGCCCCCTCCCCCAGGAAACTCTGCAGTGACTCACCAGGTATCATGCCTTCAGCTTCACTGCAGCTCCTACGTGTTACACTCAGTCTCCATTTCCTTTCTGCCCATCGCGCCCTCCCTGCCCCCTTTCTGGCCCTTGCACATTTCTGTGAGATTCCTGCAAAATCTGAAGGCTTAGGCATCTTAGTTCAAAACTGTCTTCCATCACAATGAAGATCAACACAAGGCCTCATGTCTTGACCCATTCCCCTCCTCTACTTCCGCTTTGGCATGATGTGGCATCGAATGTGTCCTTTTCACTGTGTGTTGACGAGAGTTTACAGGCTGTGTCACTTAGATTGTTCTTACCTGTGTAAGAGGGCCTCTCTTACACTGACAGGGCCTCTCGGCTGTGCTGTGCTTCCTCGTCCGGCTAAGACACTGCACTGAACAGGCACGACGGCTCCACAATGTGGGCACGTTCCTGGAGAATGGCTTCTGTCGGGCGGGTCTAAGTTCACGAATCAGAATTGACAAAGCACAGGTTCATGGTACCACAGCCCAGAAACTGTTCCCCCCTCCGCTGGGCATTCACAAACTTAGCTACAAAGGAAGTACGATCTCACCATGATCCCTTTCAAGCGCTGGGGCTGTGTCAGGCTTCAGCACGGCCTAGCGCCTCACTGCATCTTCAGCGTTCAAGGGTGGACGCGGGCCACCACACAGAGCTGTGCAGAGTCCTGGCAGAGCCCTCTCCCGAAGTCTCACAAGCACGTACTCAGACCGGAGAAGGGATACATAAGACTCTGGGAAGCACGTGGGGCCCTTCACAATACAGAGTTAAGAGGCCTTGACTTCTCTGGGGTTCTAACTTTTCCACAAGTAAAGTTAGGCAACTGGGGCCTGGTTTTCCTCTCATTTGCCTTGAGAGACCAAGCAAGCCCTGGCTTGTGTCTGTCTTCTCTTTCAAAGAATCTCAGCTTTGCTGTCACTTCCCAAATACTTAAAGCCAGATGAGGTCTTGGCAGGAGCTTTTAGCCTTTAAGACACACAGCTTTCCAGATGCTCCCAATGGCTCACTGAGATCACAGCATTAGCTGAATTCTAGGGCTGGCTGGAGCAGCAGGTGCTTCTACCCCAGTGCTGGTTCCCGGTGTGCCAACAGCGCTCTGAACAAGTTCTCTGAGTCCACAAACAGAATCCAAATTCTCCAGGACCAGACCCTTTAAGAAAATCTTTAGAGGGGTCCCTTACTTCCTGTGACAGACATAGCCAGTGTCAACCTTTGCCTAGGATTTGAAACCATTTCCTTCAAGAAAGACACCTGAATCAGAACAAACAGGCTCATGGGACTGAAGCCCAAAGCAGGGGACTTACACAGTGAGGGACTCAGGGCAGTTTCGTCCTTAGATCAAGAGAACCCATTCATAAATTAAATTCTTCTAGCCAACAATTTCAGACCCTTTCAGGAGGCATAGTGCCCAGCGCCTGTAAGCACAGGGAGGCACTGTTCGCTGGCCCTGGGCCACCCCACTAACTGAGGTACAAGTAGGAGAGAGAGCTGCCTGGGCTGCTGCTCCTCCCCCAGGGCTCAGAGACCCTGCTGTCACCCAAATTCTTAGAAGTCTTTTGAGGTCACTGCTAGAGAGAGAGTGATGGAGATTTAGTTGTGATGGAGCAGGAGGCCCAGAAGTTCCCCTGACGTGAATGAGGCTGGCCTGAGTCTAGCTGGGAGCGGCTACCCCTTCAAGTATTTACTCCTGACCTCTGCACCTCGGGAATACCAACCGGTGGGTTTTCCCAGCCCGGGTTTCTCCCACCCTCGGACCCCAACCTGTTGGGATGCCCCTTCCCAGCAGATCAGGATTCTCTGAGCCTTGCTTAGGCCTCCAATCTTACCTGTGCAGGATGTGCCTGACTACAACATCAATAACTGGGATGGGCTCACCTTCGTGGCTTTTCTGTCCAGCCTCTGTGTGGTCAAGCGGGCTGTTTTTCTTACAAGTCCGCTTTCTTCTTAGACACCCTAAAATGATTTAAGACCTGATCTCTGAATCAGGTCAAAACAAGGCCAGGTGGCCATCGCCCAACACAATTATATGCTGGGGTCACTGAAAAGGAGGCAAACATTTCTCCCAACCGTGAAGGTTCAACGCAGGTAGAGAAATTTTTCCTCCTCCTGCCTGCCCCACCTCCTATGCAAAGCCTCACTTCAGATGGCCAGGGTCACCTGAGGGTAACTCGGGGCCTCAGGCAAGACACAGGAGATAGGAATGGTGAGGACAGAAAGGTGTCCTACCAACTGGAGCTAAAATACACTTTGGATTAACACAGTCAACTTATTTTTCTAACAAAGTCATGGAGCACCTATTATAAGCCCAGAATGGTGGCTGCCATGGTGAGTAAAACACAGACGAGATCCCCACCCTGGAGTAACTCAGTGCAAGAATTCTACCCCACAAGAGTTGGCGATGCTGTGCTGCCTTTAACCAGAGAGCAAGCAGCCTTCCAGCATCTGCGCGGTGACCTCTTTCCCTCTTGGGGCTGACCTTAATGTCCATTTTCATCTTCTTCCAATTGAAAACCTAAAACCCTTCCCTTTTTTTTTCCCACCTCTGAAGGCAAGGTGTAGAATGAGAACAGGACATTTCTCCTTCATACCTACGCTACGGTGTGTGAATAAACCCATCAGGACACGGTCACCATAGCAGACCAGAATCCTGTGGGTTGTCAAATGACTAGGCGAGGCATTTTTTCCAAAGCCAACAGTCCTGCTTTGAAGAACCTACCCACCTGCCCCCACCTCCTCCAGCTGATCAAATGTAACCATGCCTTGAAACTGGTCAAGATTGTTGACCTTGACCTCAGTATTTGTGCCTCAAAACTTGAGTTTGATTTTTGCTCCATCTAAAAAAACCTTTTACAATCTCAAGAAAGATTTCCGTTCTAAAGAAATGTGTGTTTTCTTCAAACCCACAGGCGAGGAAACGAGACCTCTTTTGTTCCCTCTAGAAGGTCTGGAGGACGTAGGGTTATTGAAAATGCAGACGGTTCGGAGGAGGAAATGGATGCTCGTGATGCGGACTTCAACGGAACCAAAGCCAGCGAATAGACAACGTGCTGAAAACAAAACAAGACGACCCCCAGTGGACTCTGCTTAGCACCGTCTAAAGCCATTTTCAAATTCCAAACATCACAGACACCCCTCACGATGAACATAAAAAAACACTGCCCTGTGTTCAGGGTATGGATCTAGGTTTTGAATCGTGTACCAAACGAGAGAAGCCAACGGGAAACACAGACACACCCTCCCCGCCCTGCTCCCTGTCAGCGAATTGTGCAGAGGTTTGGAGTTTTTAGAAAAATACATCCATGGTAACTTAATCACTGGCAACTTAGTTTACATAAATGGGGAGAAAGTCACCAAAATGGGTGCCACTGCCTGCACCCCACCCCAAGCCATTCCCTAACCTCTGAGTAGGACCTCTTTGAGAATTCTTTCCCCATCCTGGTTACCGCACCTCAGATGCACACAGTTCACCGAGACCAAGTGCCTTCCATAGCCACCTGAATGAAGAAAAAGACACTGCTCAAATGGATCAGAGCAGGAATGTTACACTGTTTTATACACACCCAGACTGTATTTAAGGACACCCTCACAATAAATAAAAGGTTATAATCACTAGAATGTAGTCAGTTTTTCTTTTGTTTTCTACAGAATGAAAGAATGTTCTCCTTTAATCCTCACAGCAACCCTATGAAGTCGAGGTTTTATTTCATAAAAGGAGAAACTGAGGCCTAGGAAGGTGAAATAAACTGTCCAAGCTCCCACAGGGCAAAAAGAACAGAGATGCTAAGTGAGTCTGTGTGAGGGGCTTCTCCAACCAAGAGGTGGGCAGCCTGAGGCTCAGGGAGGAGGAACACGACCAGGAAGAACACCTTTATCCATCAAAACCAGTATGTAGCCCTGGCTGGCTTAGCTCAGCAGATTGAGCATTGGGCTGTGAACCAAAGGGTCGCATGTTCAATTCCCAGTCAGGGCACATGCCTTGGTTGCGGGACAGGTCCCCAGTGGGGGCCACACGAGAGGCAACCACACATTGATGTTTCTCTCTCTCTTTCTCCCTCCTTACCCTCTCTAAAAATACATAATTTTTTAAAAAGCAGTATGTAGCCCTGGCTGGTGTAGCTCAGTGGATTGAGCACGGGCCTGCGAACCAGACAATCGCGGTTCGATTCCCAGTCAGGGCACATACCTGGGTTGCAGACCAGTTCCCTGCAGGCCAGTTCCCAGCAGGGGACGCACGAAAGACAACCATACATTGATGTTTCTCTCCCTCTCTCCTTCCAAAGATAAATAAATAAAATATTTAAAAAAAAAAAAAGCAGTATGTATATAAAGTAAAGAACACAACATTTCCTTGAATTTTTAACTTAAAACACAAGACTTCACCTAACAAGAGTTGACAAATTTTGTAAAGGCCAGAGAGTAAATATTTTAGTTTACATATGGACTCTGTCATGGATTCATTTTCTTTTAAACAACCCTTTAAAAACACACACACAAAAAAACCACTTTTTGTGTGAAGGCCGTAAGAAACTAGGCTGTGGGCCCTTTCCTTCCGCAGCTGGAGTGTTCCAGGCAGACTCCTTGCAACAGTTCAACTCCAATGATGCCCGGACCCCATGGGCTCAAGTGGGTTCGAGACGAGCGTGAACAGGAAAACCACGAAGGCTCAGCTGAAAGAGCAAACGCTCACCCTGAACTGCACACGGACGTATCCCAAAAACAGTTCTAGGGGGCGGATTTGAAGGGAAATGTTTAAAAGTATGTTTTTAGATATTTAGTTACTTGGTTAAAAACAAAAGTCTTTTACCACCATATGGGCAAACACGGAAGAACATAGCAGCATTTACTGACCATCACCACACACTAGTTGAAAATTAGTTTCTCTTGATTTTATTGTTCTTTTAAAAAAATAAAAGTACATCTTTTTACCAATACAGGTTAGCATGTTTCTAGGATAATGAACCAGGCACTGAAGTTTTAATTCTCCGTAGAATTTCAGTAGCACTTGAAAAGTTCTATTTTCAAATCAGGAACACTTTTGCTGTTCTTTTGGAAAAATAATTTAGTAACAAAGGGAAGCTCGTTAAGCTACACACATGCTCCTGAATTCATGTCTTCTGTTTACTTGAGACCAAAAGCATGAGACAGCCGTTCACACGCAGTGATGAGTACAGGCACTGTCCGGGCTGGAAATCCTGTGTTCGTTTCTTCTTTGATAAGCAGGCTTTCAACAACAATCCTGGGGGTTTACTCTTATGTGAAGGTCACCCTGATTATTTCATTATGGCCTGGAGTGAAATCCTATTCTTAAAGGCTGCATTTCCAAGGCCACTCCATCCCAGTGACCTCGAGGGTCCTGAAGTGGAGGTCACCCCCATGCCAGGGATGTGGCTCAGGACAACTAACAGTCAGGACAGATCTAAAAAGGACAGATTTTCCACTAACCCAGTCCCCATAAATGTGCTCTGAAACTCAAGCACTCTTCTAAAAGCTTCAACGAGAGGCAGGTGAAAAAGTCTGGGAGGTGCACTACACCCGTTTCAATAAGCACGTGCCTAGTCTACTCTCCACTCCTAGACATGATTTTAGTGCACAGATCCTTGCTGTGCCACACAGTGTTGGGAGACTTTGTTCTAGAAGAAAGCTCCAGCTGAATGGGGCTGGGGTGAGCCTGAAGTGGGCTCAGGTCCCTCTTGAAAGGCATCTTCAGACATTAAAAACACATCTCGAGGCCAACCAGGACTTGGGTCAGCTCACAATGTGGTAGCCTCAGCACCCACACCTCAGAACCCTTTCCAGAGGGTCCGGTTTGTCTCTGTCCTGCAACACACCAACAGGGAGTTTGGGGATTAAGAAACGACATTTCACAGGGTCAACCGCCAGGGGCCACAGGCGATTGCCTCGGTCATTGGCTAGTGGGACTGCTCACCCATATTTCTCGAACTAAGAACAACAAAAAAACAACAACACAAAAACCTAGTGTGATGAGGGGAAGAAAAATAACAGCTCCTGCACAGACACCAGTGGCTTCGCTTCTGTGGATTTCCTAAAGCAACATCTTGACTACACCCTGGGCAGATGGCAGCGATGGTGAGGGCAGATTTGAAGCTGGCTTCCCAAACTCCAGGCGTTTTCCTGACCTTCAGACAGAGCAAACCAAATTAAGCAGACATTACAGCTGCTACAGACTGACTATCATCGGCCCACAGTTATAAGAGTGAATATCAAGAGTCAGGAGCTGTGTCACTGCGTCTTAATTTTCTCTCCTGTGAAATGAAGAAAAGGACACTGGCTGTCTAGCTCTCACATTCCCAAGGCCACGCAAAAAGCCAGGTGCAGAAGACCCTCTAAAAACCCCACTTTAAAGATCCGGAAGTTATGTGCATGCCACGGAAAACGATTCTTCACTTCCTGTCATCTTTCTGCCACGGACCCACCAAATTTATGTGGCTTGGGGGGTCCAATAAGATGGTGGCACATCTGAGAAGTTACTGAAGCTGGAAGCTGCCCTGAGTTTCTTCAAGGAAGAAAAGAAGTGAAGCCATTAGAGGTCAGATCTGTTCTCCAATCCAATGACTGGCTTTAGGATTCTAGTCTGGCTGGAATTTAGCGCCAGTTTCCAGAAGGTTCTAAAGGTTTAACAAAAAAAGGAAAAAATCCTCTTCTGGAGGAAGCTGTGTTTGAAGCTCAAGTCCCAAATAAGTGACTTTACAGGACGTCCTCACAGCACGACCAGGAGCTGGGGCTGCAGGATCTGAATAAACACCAGCCTCTCCTTGGCCGTTTGCCCCAACAGAAGACACGACCTAACTCTGGCTCAAAGATGGGGGTAGAGGATTAGGTTCACTGACATAATCCTACAATTAAAAAAAAATGGCTTTTGTTCAGAAGTTAAAGGCTCCCATTGGAAGTGACAGCAAAAGGTACTGACCCCTTATCACCCAGAGGCACACTGGTGCTGCTCGGCCGTCTGTCACTGCCATCTCTGTTCTTGCTCCCCCGTCCTGAGGGGGGGCCACTTGTTCGGTTTGGGGACTGCTCGTACACGAAGTTCCGGCAGGACGCAAGTTTGGACTCCAGTGCCTGCAGAGAAATATACTTTCACCTCTCAAGTTAAAGACAAGAACCCTGCTCTCTCCCTGGAACCTGCAGGCAGACGGTAACCCGAAGTGGCGTGTGGGGCACTGGAATTCCAAAGGGGGCCCCGAGGAATCCAATGCCCATCCAACTCTTAGACCCACTGGTCTAAGATATGTTGCTGCTTCCTGGAAAATCACTAACCCTACTAATTACCCAACTCTGCCTATGGGAAACAGGAAATCAATTTGGGGGATCATTCCCTTTTGTTTACCTTGTTAAACATGCAGAGAGACGCAGGTTTAAACAAGGACTCTGCCTTGCTGTAAAAAGACCCCACAAAAACCAAAGTACACTGAAACCACCCCAGGCTTCTCTATACTCTAGCTGTGCAATGCATTAAAACAGAGACCTGTTTATGTATCAGAAAACCGGGCAACCAAAAGCCCAAAGTAAAAACGTAAGAAAGAAGTCGCAAGCTCCTATTAAATTGCAGCTCTGCATACATACGTCTGACTGACGACAAACTGGCCAGGGTTAAACTATGTGGCCTTCCGAGCATCACCTTTATAAATAAAAGGAGTAACTACAAATACCTATGTGTGTCTTAAGCACAAAATCAGAACCCTTCCCTGTAATTAATATAAAACCTATCAAGTTACCTGCCCTAGCCTTTCAAGATTCTCTCTTTAACTTCCTGAGAAATAGAAAGAGAAAAGGAAATTTTCAAATGTGTCTCAGTTTTTTCAAGTTAAGAAAATAAAGTCACAGAGACCATCTGAACGGAATTCCCAAATTCCAAGGAAAAATGGTATAGGAAAGACAGATCTCCCCAGGGACCAAAGGGATGACACAGAGTCTGGGCTCTGGCGGGTTGTCAGTGACAAGGGCCACAGAAGCTCCTGTGATTCTGAGGGACGCAACTAACCTGGAGCTACACACCGAGAACTCATGAACTCTCGGTTAGAGGGCAAAGGAACTGGTAAGGTCACCCCTCGCAACTGTCCTGACAGACAGGCCAGAAGCCACACCCGACCCCAGGGAGGTGCTGGCCAGTCTTACCCCTACTTTCCGCAGCAGGTCTCCCACGATGTTGAGGGCTGATATCCTGGCCGCAGGAGTGAGGGGAGTCCCACCCATGGAGTCATCGAGACCTGGGTGTGCAAAAGGAAGCACATATAACACCAACCCTCAGTCACAAGTCTGTGCAAAACCCTGAGGGTAGACAAAGGAAGCTACTCTTGCCTTGGATTCTGAACACTGCCCTGTTTCATTCAATAACTGTCTCGCAGTAAAAGTCTATTTGATGACCGAACTTTAGCAGCTTTACAATACCTACATTTAACATTTATCTTTACCTATTATTCTTTTACAATAAAATCAACACAAGCCCTCCTGAAATCCCAGGAATTCCATTTAGCTAATCAACATGAAGAGCTTCCGTGCCAACCACATTTGCACGGGTTCTACTCGACAGAGCCTCTCTCCTGAGAGTAGGACCCAGGGACCAGCCGCACAGAATCACCTGGGCACAGGTTAGAAATGCATCTCAGACCCTGCCCATAGCTGCTGAATGCGAGGTGCATTTGACAAGATTCCCAGGTGACTCTTGTGCCTGCTAAAGTGTGGAAAACACTGCCCTAGACTGGGATTCTGGAAGTCTTACCAGTCTCTTCACCTCAGGGGACAAGCTAAGGGATAAGGCAATACACAGTAATATGAGCCCTTAAGCCAGCCTGCCTGGGCTTGAATCCCAATTCTGCCATTCCCCAGCTGGGTGACAAGCCCTCAACTCAGGGCCTCAGTCTCCCCATGCATCAAACAGGGTTATTGCCTTCAATTACTTGCACCTGGGCCTGTGGTGCAACTACAGTGAAGTTTTATGCATATGTATACACACATACACACACACATATGCATATACATGCAAAGCATTTTAGGGACAGTGACTGAGCACTCAATAACTATTATTATTCACTACTGAGTGACCCTGAAGAACATCACAGTTATTCAGTTGGCAGAGGAGAAAGGCTGGGGTGCAACTCAAATTCTTCATTGTTTACAACACAACACAGGTTACACTGGCTCCATTTCTAGTAGAATACATTACTGGACCCACACAACACTTTTTACTGGTTACTGAAATTTTAAATTTAGCAGTGTTCATATTCAACAAGAGGATTTCTGGCTTCTGGTAAAGAATGGAACTGTCTGCTGCTGCTGGGCCCACATTTCTTGTGGTAGGAGCAGAGCCCCTTCTAGATGGGGCTTGTTTTCCAGTTCACCACAGACTCCACTGCTCTCTGCTGCCCCACAGCCAGGAGGCTCTTCTCAGTTACCTTGATGCTCTGCCCAAAGAGCTTCCCCGTTTGCTCCCTGCTGCCTAGACTGGTCTGATTTCTCTCTTACTCAGTTCCCATGCTGGGTTCTCACCCAGCAAAGCTTTGCAAAGCAAAGGAAGTCCTCCCCACTCCCACTCCCCTTACCACGTCTGAATGTCCCTGGTGTGGTGAAGCTAGAGCTGGGTCCCCGATGAGTCATGGGGGTGGATGGCAAGGAGCCAGTGGCTTGTACCGCCATGTCTGTCCTTTCAGCTTCCACTGAGCTGGGCATGGGGGTTCTGGGTTTCTCCTGCTTTTGCTGCACAGCCAATTCCTGACGCAAATCTGGGCCAGGAAAAGGATTCAGGTTAAGTCCTTGCTTTGGGTGATGGGGGAGGGGGAAAAGGAGAGGATGAGTTAGCGGCAGACCCTGGTCAAGGAAAAGAAGCATCAGGATGAAGAACCCTAGGTGGAAACCCTGAACAACATGAAACCCACAGGATATTGCCCAACAGGCTTGTAAAACTATATGATTTTTCTTGTAACAACAAAGAGGTTTTTAAAAATTTAACTATGAAGAAGGTTTAGGACTTCCGCCAAGATGGAGGCATAGGTGGATGTGCCGTGCCTTCTCACACAACCAAGATTAGAGAAAACTAAATATTAGCAACAGAAAACACAGCCAGAACACGGAAAATTGAACTTTTCGGAAGTCCGTTAACAACAAATTCTTCAGCCTGACCGGTAAGGGGCGAAACCAGCGGCTGGCGGAGCAGGGTTGCACAGGAAAACTCGGCCAGACACACTCAGGCCGGCGGAATCCAGGCGCAGGGTCAGACGTAGTGAGCGACCCGGCGAGCAACCAGGCGAGCGACCGCGGGGGAGACAGCCGGGCCCGGGGCTGCGTGTTGACTGAGGTCGCGCATTTGTGCGAGGGTCGACAGGCGAGGGAGTGGGCGGTCGGACCGGGCCAGCAGGTCCCCACGGCTAGCGGCAGTGGAGGGCTCCGCCATTTCCCTGCTCTGACCCCACCTCCACATACAGCGTCATAACCCAGCGGCCCGGTCCGGGTGAACCACCTAAGGCGCTGCTCCTCCGCACCCAGCTGTGAGAAGCGGCAGAGGGGTTCGCCATTTCCCGCTCTGGCCACGCCCCCACATACAGCGTCACAACCCAGCGACCTGGGAATCCAAGGCGCCGCTTCTTAAAGGGCCCCAACAGACCAAGAATGGCGCAGGAGGATCTCAGAGCCCCAGAGCCAATAAATCTAAACGATGAAGAAATAGCAAAACTCACAGACGCACAGTTTAAAACATTGGTGATCAGGATCCTCACAGAACTGGTTGATTATACCGACAAATTAGACAAACATATGAAGGCGAAACTAATTGAAATGAATGGAATTGCACAGGACACCAATAGCAATGAAAAGGAAACTGGGACTCAAATCAATGGAGTGGACCAGAAGGAAGAAAATAATGGCCAAACAGAAAAGAGTGAAGAAGCAAGAATTCAAAGAAATGAGGAGAGTCTTAGGAACCTCCAGGACATCTTTAAACGCTCCAACATCCGAATTATAGGGGTACCAGAAGGGGGAAAGGCACAGCCACCAGTGGAAAACTTATTTGAACAAATAATAAAGGAGAACTTCCCCAATCTGGCAAAGGAAATAGACTTCCAGGAAATCCAGGAAGCTCAGAGAGTACCAAAGAAGTTGGACCCAAGAAGGAACACACCAAGGCACATCGTAATTACATTAGCCAAGATTAAAATGAAGGAAAGAATCCTAGAAGCAGCAAGAGCTAAGGGGACAGTCACCTACAAAGGAGTCCCCATCAGACTGTCAGCGGATTTCTCAAAAGAGACCTTACAGGCAAGAAGGGGCTGGAAAGAGGTATTCCAAGTCATGAAATCTAAAGACCTACAACCAAGATTGCTCTATCCAGCAAAACTTTCATTTAAAATGGAAGGACAGATAAGGTGCTTCTCAGATAAGATCAAATTCAAGGAGTTCATCATCACCAAGCCCTTATTATATGAAATGTTAAAGGGACTTATCTAAGAAGTTAAAGAAACATGAACAGTGAAAGGACAACAAACTCACAGTTATTAACAACCACACCTAAAACAAAAGCAAACTAAAAGAACAGCTAGATCAGGAGTGGAAACATAGAAATGAAGATCTCAAGGAGGGTTAGCAACAGGGGAGTGGGAGGAGGAGAAGGGGGGAGAAGGTACAGAAAATAAGTAGCATAGACAGTAGATAGAAAATAGAAAGGGGGGCAAGAATAGCATGGGAAATATAGAATCTAAAGAACTTGAGACACATGGTCATAAACTAAAGGGGGGGTGATGGTGGGGATGGGGGGTAGGGTGGAGGGGAATAAAGGGGGAATAGAACAACTGTAACAGCATAATCAATAAAAAAATTTAAAAAAAAATTTAACTATGGCAGCCCTGACTGGTGTGGCTCAATGGATTGGGCATTGGCCTGCAAACTGAAAGGTCACCAGTTCGATTCCCAGTCCGGGTACAGGCCTGGGTTGCAGACCAGGTCCCTTGTGGGGAGAAGCCAATCAATATTTCTCTTCCTCTCTTTCTCCCTCTTTTCTCTCTAAAAATAATAAAATCTTAAAAAATAATTAAAATAACTAAACTATACCTGTGATACACTAATGCTTATACTATTTTCAAAAGATTTTAACATGGCGGGTATGTAGAATATTAAGTGAAAAAATATGCTTCCCATCCCCAAATGCTCCCCTTCACTCATAATCACTGTAACATGGAGATCTTACCAATCTTTTTCTCTGTATTTTTATACATGTACTTTATATGGGGGGGGCAAAAGTGGGTTTATAGTTGTACATATTGAAAATGATAATCAATAAATAATAGTATGAGAATAAACTGTTTTGCACACTCACAACTGTAAACCTACTTTTCTCCCATCCTGTATATGATTAATTTTTTAATTAGCATAAACAGAAATATACATCTATCTACGACATATCTTTCTCCCTGTGGTGGTGTGTCCTAACAGGTGTTCTGTAACCACATTTATATCTGCACCTTGCTCATTTTTTTTTAAAGATTTTTATTTATTTACTTTTAGAGAGGAAGGGAAGGAGAGAAGGAGAGAAATATCAATGTGTGGTTGCCTCTCATGAGTCCCCTGCTGGGAACTGGCCTGCAACCCAGGCATATGCCCTGACTGGGAATCGAACCGCGATAGTGTGGTTCGCAGGCCCACGCTCAGTTCACTGAGCTACACCAGCCAGGGCTGCACCTTGCTCATTTTAACAAATGCTTAACATTCCTCAAAATAAGTCTATGTAATTTGTTTAACCACTTCCTTACTGATGGGCCTTTAGGAACAACTACCTTTTAAACTTGAGTTTTTCTTTTTAATCTCCCTTCTGTTGGCCACAAATTAGAAACTAAGTTAATGTTACAGACAAATAACTGAGATTCAAAAAAATCTCTTATGACATTCAAGCATCCAACTTGGATGCTGCACTAACGTCGTACTAGCTTGAAAGCACTACCTCTGGAATCGCCAGCTTCCAAAGAGCATTACTGATGAAGTTCTAAGCCACACGTATCAGCTGCCAGCAAACCACAAAAATAATGGACTAGCTGGCAATTCCATCAACAGGAATTTTCCCCCACAACACTCTTGGGCTCCTTCTGAACATGAGGCTGGTGGTGGGTTTAAATACCTACTAGGGGTCTTACCAGGCTGAACATCTGACAACTCTCAGCAAGGGGTGGGAACCAAGGCTCGAGCTTGCTCAGTGTGGTCCCCCGCCCTCTGACCAGAGAGCCTGTGTGCCAAGCAGGGTGCAGATTTCCAGCAAGGGGAACATCGGACAACGCTCTCAGGCGGGGAGAGGGGACAATGCTGGTGAGGGCGTGCAGAACAGCGCCCAGGCCTCCTGACCTCTGGCTTCGTCCTTCAGTCTCTGAACGGATTCTAGGAGATTCTCCTTCTCATCAAGCTCACTCTCCAGGAAGGCATTTCTTTCAATGGCTTGATTCAAGCGCTGCTCAAAGTCTTCCAGAGACATAATTGTGGCCCTGGGGAAGAGAAAAGCAAAGTTGTCCAAGAGGGTGATCAACAACATCCATCTGGTGCCTACACACCTGGGAGACCAGAAGGTCCGACAGATGAGGGTGTGAGCCCCGGCACTGGCACTTCCTAGATACCACAGACCTGAGCAACCCCTTAATGTTCTGGGACCCCAGTTGGTTCTTCACCTGCAGGATGGACACTATCTTAGCTCATGAGGTCTACAAGGCTGTGCTGAGGATTAAATGAGATAGTGTGCATATAAAACTTGGCAATCAGCCAAGACCTTATTAGGACCACAAATGGGGCCCACTCAATACCAATGGGTCCACCTTCTCTTGAAGACACACGACAAACAGTATTCAGACTATCCTACTAAAATGCACACGCGATGTAGTAACATGCATTTTAAAAAGCAGAAGAGACCACCTTTAATTCTGAACAAAAGAAGTTAAAAATGCCCCACCCCAGCCCAGCTGCTCCATTAACAACTACTTCCTATGAACAGGGTAGACCTTTCACTGCAGTGCTGTGTCACAGACACTGAGAAGTGCTACAATGAAGAAATCTGTTAATGCTGAGGCACAGAAAAGGCAGCCAGCAGTTTTCCTCATATGCAAAGTGGGGGTAGTACTAGTGCCTCCAGAGGGTTGGGGGTGGGGTAGGACCAACCAGAGTCATACAGGAAGCATACAACAGATGTTTCACACCTAAGTGCTCAATAAATGTCAGCAATTTTTATTACTGATCCCATGTTTGTCTCCAGAAGACCTTTAACATTCTATTCATTGTAGCTCACGGTGATTAGAAGCATAGATGGGAGTGGAATCCAGGAGTTAACACCTGGCTCTTCCATGTACGACTAGCTAAGTGTCCTTGGGTAACTTCAACAGCAAGGGGGATAGATTCATTGATTTATTCAACATACCCTACTATGCCCAGGTTATGTCCTATTAGTATCTACACTCAAAGGGTCTCAGAAGTAAATAAAAGTTACCAGGAGTGCCTGACGAAAAACAACAAAGAAAAACTACAACACTGGAATCAGTTAAAATGGCCCTAAGGTTGACATGTCAAACAACAACAAAAAAGATCAAATATATGTGAGAATTTCATTTGTGATAAAGGTAGCATCATAATAATTGATGAAATATGGCTAGTTCAATTCTAGGTTTGAGGACTACTGGGCAGCCACCTGAAAATGAAGTTAGTATTGGGTCCCTACTGGGTACTGCACCCTCCAGAAAAATTCCACCTGTTTCAGAAATTTAAACTCAGTATTCGGTCAAAATCTATTGCTGGCTTCTGGAATGCCAGAAATCTCTGAAAACCAACTTCAGGGGTATTTCTGGCATTGCAGAATCTGTGTGGATCAGTGATTGTGTAACAGATAAATGCATAAAGAAAATGTGATACAGACATGCAATGGAATATCATGCAGCTTTGAAAAGGAGGAAATCCTGTTTCACATACACTACAATATAGATGGACCTTAAGGACATTATGCTAAGAGACCAGGACAGTTACAAAACAACAAATACTGTATGGTTCCATTTATATGGAGTATCCAAGACGGTCAAAATCATAGAAACAGAAAGTAGAAAGGTAATTACCAAGGGCCGGAGTGAAAAGGGGAAATTAGTGTTTGGTGGATTCGGAGTTTCAATGTTGCAAGATGAAAAGTTCTAGAGCTGTGTTGCATAATAGTGTGAATACAGGGAACACTCCTGAACGTTGTACTTAAAAATGGTTAAGACAGTAAATCTGACATTACCACAAAAAGTAAAAAATAAAGTCTATTCAATAATAACACATAAAAGAACACAATTACATTAAATTTAATCTTTGTAGAACTTTTAGGTATATTAAATAATATAACCTTTAAGGAATGTATTTAATTTTTAATTACTTCCAACTGGGCCCTAAGGAATCCAGAGTTATCCCCCTCCTCAGTTTACTGTGAGCCACTCGGTTTCACAGAGGTACAGCACAGGGTCCATGACAAGCAAACTGCCGATGGTGCAGAAAAATTATTGTTCTGCAGCAGACTGTTTAATTCTCCAACTATAACTATTAAAATTTTATAATAAATTTGTAACATTTTAAAGATTTTTTTTAAGTAAAAGTTTAGGTTTCCAGAACCTTATTCACTGTATTGGGCTGGCCAAAAAGTCTGGTTGGCTTTTTCTGTAAGATGGCTATAGTAGCACTTAGCTATCTTTAACTTCATTCAATTTTTTTAGATTGTACTGGGACAGGTGTCATATGAGTATGCATTTAAAAAAAATCAAAATTGGTGAATTTCTGTACAGCCTTTTTAATATTGAAGATGGAAGAAAATATGCAACATTTCTGGCATATTGTGCTTTATTATTTCAAGAAAGGTAAGAACACAACTGAAATGCAAAAAAAGATTTGTGCAGTGTATGGAAAAGGTGCTGTGACTGACTGAAGGTGTCAAAAGCGGTTTGCAAGGCTTCGTGCTGGAGGTTTCTCCCTGGAAGAGGCTCTACAGTCAGGTACACCAGGTGAGGTTGATCATGATCAAATGGAGACATTAGTTGAGAACAATCAATGTTCTACCAGGTGGGAGATAACCAACGTACTCAAAACAATCCAAATCAATATTGGTGAAAATGAAACATGTGTCCTTTATTTTACTGAAAAAACTAAATGGACTTTTTGGTCAACCCAATATAATGATGATTTGGACCTCTACCCCATCTGATTTTAACATTCAACTATTCAACAACTGGCCAAAATGAAGACCAGTGCAACTTAGTCAAAGAAAAAACATCAAAATTACAACTAAACTATAGAACAACCATCAGTCAGAACTGCTTCATATCTAGCTAAATGGAAGTCCTACGACTAAGGCTATTTAGAAGAAGCCACCTTGAGAATGATAGGAGGGACAGAGATGCAGAATGGGCTGGTCCCACACCCACCTGTGGCAGGTAAAAATCAGGAGGGAGCCCTCGCCCCGTGACTGAGTTGGTTAGAGCATCATCCCATACACCAAAGACTGCAGAGGTTCAGTTCCTGGTCAGGTCACATACCTGGGTTGCGGACTCAACCCCCGATCAAGGCATGTTTGGGAGGCAACCGAATGATGTTTCATGTTTCTCTCTTGCATCAATGTCCCTCTCTCTCTCTCTCCCTCTCTCTTCCCCTCCCTCCCACTTGTCCTCCCTCCTCTCTCTAAAATTGATGCACATATCCTCAGGTAAGGATTTAAAAAAATAATAATAAAATTGAGAGAGCTATTTTGGTTGTGGAGACACCTTTGAGGAGCAAGGGGTCCTAGCCTCATACCAGCCTCCCAGTCCAGGGTTCCAGTGCCAGGAAAAGAAGTCTCATAACTTCTAGCTGTAAAAACCAGCAGGGACTGTGGCTGAGGGCTTCTGGAGTCCCAGATGTTTCTCTTAAAGAAACTGCAGAGACTCACTCAGACTCTCTCTCTGAGATTCAGCATTAGGGAAGCAGCTCAAAGGGCACCAGGGACATTCGGGGAGGAACTGAATTGTTAAGCATCAGGGAGAGAGCTGGAGGGGCAGCTTTCTACCAGATGAAGTCCTGGCAGAGGCTGCTGTTCCTTTGCTGGACCCTCCCCAAGAGATATGGCAGGTGGTGCTATATCTGAGTCTCCATCAACCTGGCTAACACCATTCGCCCCACCCCGGAGATTCTCTGAGGCCCTGCCCCACCCAAATTGTGGATCCACTCAAGTTGTTTCCAGTGCCTTTTCCATACAAATGGCCTGTCTAGACTTGTGCTTCATATTTTCCTAAAATCTTTCAAACGAGTAGCATCTAGCCTTGGTGTGCCTTACTCCTCTTATTAAGTGGCCCCAGGCCTAGCACGAGCGGCAGCCCGCCTAGGTTTGAAACTTGGCCTCTTCTGCATACTTCCAAGCCCAGTACAAGTAGCAGCCATGTGCAGAAAGCTTTGTAGCTCATGCCAGGAGGCCCCAGGCAGAACACTGACAGTCGCTGACCTTGGCCTACACCTCCGTAAGGCCTCAGAGCCACTGCACCCAGTGGACAGCTTCAAATCACATCAAAGCACCACCCAACCACCACCACAAATGACACACTCAAGAGGCAGACTCAGAAGGCACCAGAGCCATTGTGAAGTAAGTCCTGCTCCATGGTGTCGGCCCCCACAGAGCTGATCCTCCAAAGTGGTCACAGCCACTCCTTACAGCTGACTGACCTGGGGGTAAATCCCTCCCATTGATGTGCCAACAGCAATGAAGGATCACCTACAATAGGAGAGTGTACACACCCTACATGGGGTAGGGGTGGGGGGACAGGCACCTGGACTGTCCAGATCGGGAGAACAGGGAGGCTGCACCACTGGGCCCTGCAGAACACCGAGCATATTAGGCCACTCTACCAAGCCTGGGCGTCATAGCAACTCTACTCAGTACACAGACACAAACACAGGGAGGCTGCCAAAATGAGACACAAAAACATGTCCCAAAGGAAAGAACAGAACAAAAACTCCTGGAAAAAAACTAAACAAATGGAGACAAGCAATCTACTAGATGCAGAGTTCAAAACACTGGTAATCGGGATGCTCGATGAACTTAGTGAGAACTTCAATAGTATAAAAGAAAATGTGAAAACCATAAAAAAAAAGAACCAGTCAGAAATGATAGATACATTAACAGAAATGAAAAATAATTTACAGGGAATCAAGCAGATGAAGGTAACAATCAAATCAGTAATTTGGAATATAAAAACGTAAAAAACAATCAGGACAGCTAAAAGAAAAATAATTTTAAAAAATGAAGACAATGTAAGATGCCTCTGGAACAACTTTAAGGGTACCAACATTCACATCATGAGCATGTCAGAAGGACAAGACAGAGAGCAAGAAATTGAAAACCTATTTGAAAAAAAGGACAGAAAACTTCCATAACCTGGTAAAGGAAATAGACACACAAATCCAAGAAGCACAGAAAGTCCCACACAAGGTGAACGCAAAGAGGCCCACACTAAGA